CATAGTTCATTGTGTTTCTGTAGCATCAGAGCGCCTCCCTGTCACGGATCCCTTATTGCCCAGGCCACCCTCTCTTCCCTCAGGAGCCAAGGGGCTGAGATCTTGGTGAGAGTTCCTTGACCATCCTCTGATGATGTCAGCACCCCAGCTGCTCCAGATCCTCCCGCTTCTCAGTTGACATCCACCCCCCCTTCCCCAGGCTTGGGACGGTGCACACTGAAATCATAGCTTTCCGGGCCTTCGAGACTGTAGGACTCCTGTTGTCCTCTGGCAGTGACTCCTGTCCCAGACAGTGAATGAACACAGGTGGAGTCCAAGCCATGACCCTGGATAGTCCAGATAAAAGGGGGAGGGATCAGCAAAGCTGGGTGGCTCCTGTCGTCTCTTCATGGCAGAGACGTGCTCTAGGGGCTGGATCCTTGGCTGCATTTAGAATGTGTAGCCTTCAATCACCTGAGTCTGGAGACACACGGCGTATCTTTAATTCTATCACCAAAAGCTTCTGGCTGACTTATTAATTAATTTTAAAATGAAGATGGTTTAAAAAAAAAAAAAGATTTAGGAAAGAGAAAAAATTCAGTTGGTCTTTGTTAAAACCCTTATTTGATGAATATTTGTAGCCTCTGCGTGGGTGGTTCTAGCCATGGGTTGCTCCCCTCGGAGCCTCCCTGAGAGGCCACCATGCAACTAGCTTTAATCACTGGCTCCAAAGAAAGGACGTTCTTTCTTCTCCTGCCTCTTGGAGTGATGGAGAATAATGATAGCGTTGCGGTAAAAGAGGGACCCTGTGCCTCTTGTGCTGGCTTGTGAGCTTTTTATTTTGTTTGGGTTGCACAGAAAGAAATTGAGGATCCGTGACACACACTTAAGGCGAGCTCTGTGTAGGGCCTGTGGCATTTAAGTGAGCTCTCAAACCCAGTCCACTACAGACCTGTGAGGGAGGTGTTCTCACCAGGGGTCCCAGCACGGAGCGTGAGCGGGCTGCCTGAGGGAGCCCTGTGGCTGACGCCTCCGGCCGGTGCACAACCTGACTCACTGAACGGCCTCTCTCCCCACACCGTCAGCTCTCTACCCAGGAGAAAAGAAAGGAACCTCAGGATTAGTCAGTGGGGATGTAGGTGGTCTCTCAGGAGGGAGAGTGGAGTTTGGTAAAAACCCTAGCATTATAAAATAGTGTGAGGGCACCTGTGGGAGTGGTGATTACAGGTCAGGACCGGCCTAAACACTTCTGTTAACCCAGGAAACCTGACCACGGTGCCACGAGGGAGGTTGGGGCCTGAGGACCCTTATGGCACAGAGGGGAAGACTGAGGCACAGAGAGGCTAGATAAGTTGCTGGCAGCTCACGGTCTCGGTGCCTATTCTGCTCATGGAACCCTCACGGACGAGGAGTGTATTAAGGATGGTGGGAACCGGTGTTAGCCCTCAAAGTTTTCAAAATTAAGACCCTTGAAACCCCTAAAGTGAGACTAAAAGTGCCAAACTGGCCATTAACTTGGGAAGGTCATGTCTCCAGAAACCTAAAATCCGAGGTGAGATTTTATGAAGGATTTGAGTTTTTGATTAACAAGCTGACTTACATGGAGCTCTTAACTACAATCCATTGACCTGTGCATTTAATACATTTCTTTGTTAAAAGTAAAGCAGCATGAAATTAGACATGAGTATGGTCAATGATTTCCATATTAGAAGGTGAATACCCAGTCTTTCTATTCTCTTACCCCACAATCTCACCCTTGCACTTCTGTTCTGCTCTACCTCTTGTGTTTCCTCAAGAAGAAGGAGGGTGCGGGAAACCTGTCAAGGGATAAACATAGGAACTTCTTTTTTTTTTTTTTTTTATAGATTTTGCTTGTTTGTCAGAGCACACGCAGAGGGAGAAGCAGGTTCCCCACTGAGCTGGGAGCCCATGCTGGGCTCGATCCCAGGACTCCAGGATCATGACCTAAGCCAAAAGCAGATGCTTCACTAACTGAACCACCAGGTGTCCCAAAAGAATGAACTTCTAAAACTCTTGGCAGACCTCAGAAGTCCTCAGAAGGCAGGAGTGCGGCTGCCTTGCTTCATTGCTTAGCTCCTTCTGACCTTGGGCCTGTGTATCCGCCCTAGGGCATAGGTGCACGAGGACAGGACACCCCCTTTTCTCTGAGCAAGGCTTTGGGGTGGAGTTGGCCCTGCCAGCTATTTCAAAATGTTTCTCCCAAAGCTGCTAGGATTCCTGGTGTCTCCCCTCGCCGCTCCCATGCCCCTTTGACTCAGGAGAGAGCCTGTCACATGCCCATCATCCTCCCTGCACTGACTGAGGGCTCCATACCTGGCTAATTACAAGACCTAGGAAGTAGCCCCATCCAGTTTGGCTACTTCCCCAGCATTCCTTCCCATTCTAAGGGGAGGGAGGTCAGACAAAAGCAGGGCAGCAAGCGAGTCATGACTTCTTATTGCCAAAGTAGACAGAGGGCTAAATTAAAGGACTGGTCAGACACATGCTTATTCTAGAGAAGGCTGGAGGGAGAAAGGACGACCGCTTTCCCTCCCGTTCTCTGTACTCTCCTGCTGGGTGCGCCAGACTGCCAGCCCCCAGCTTCCTCTCCAGGGGAAACGCCAGCTACAAGCTGGGCCTCCTGCACCTACATCTGCCTTCACTGAATGCAAGGGGAGTAAACTGGAACCTGAAATCCACTCAGTAAATGTCTCCTTCAGAGTCATTCTAGCTTTTTGCTGAAAGCAGATGCAGCCCTGCTTTTTTTTTAGTAAGTAACACTATCCCCAGACTTAAACAGATGCTCTAGCGGCAAAATCTCAGAGTCCTTCATTGCTGGCACCTGTTTCTACAGTGCCTTCTGTAAGTTGGGATGCGATTTTTAGGAACTGAAATGCAGCAGTGAAAGAGCCAAACAATCAATTAAAGGGGGAAAAATAAAAACAGTCCAGAAGCAGATTTTGATGTATTTGAAAATTGGTATGTATGCTATTTGCCCAATTTAGGATGACGCTACCATATCAGAGTCCTAAACCTGCTTCAGTCCATTTCTCTGAGTGCTACTGTCCATGCAGATGTACTGACTTTATTGTCAAAAGGAAACAGTCTCCTGAGAGCAGGGCATGTCAGGGAAGCGGTACTATTGCTAGTAACCCCTCTCCAGATTCTTTGAAAAACCAGGCTTTTCTTGCAAGTTTGTAATGAGGATGTAACACATTTACTTCTTAAACCGTGACTTCCATTTTGTGGTACAACCAAAGGCCGTGATTCTGGTCAGAGATCCTGGACCATGGGGAGGCTGAGTTAATGAATAGCTATTTGCCTCCAGCATTAGCACGGGTATCTTCATTAAGGTGGTAATGTGTCAGGGCACCAAACAGGTTGCCATGGTATTTGTGAGTTTCTGAGCGGACTCTGGCTTTCCCTGAAATGGAACATGTTCAGCCCCTAGTAAAGGTGCTTCCTTGCACAGCACAGCAGAGGGAATGCAAAATAGTGAAATGACTATGGCTCAGGTACTCAGTTGGGAAGGTTGATGAGTGCATGGGTGTTTAAGTATTGAGTGTTTAAGTATCGGGGCGCCTGGGTGGCTCAGTGGGTTGGCTCAGGTCATGATCTCGGGGTCCTGGGATGAGCCCCACATTGGGCTCTCTGCTCAGCAGGGAGCCTGCTTCCCTCTCCCTCTCTCTCTCTCTCTCTGCCTACTTGTGATCTCATTCTCTGTCAAATAAATAAATACAATCTTACAAAAAAAAAAAAAAGTATTGACTCTCGGACAGGGTTTCTGAAAAAGTTGTTTAATCTCTAGACCTACCCACCCACCCATCCATCTGTCTGTCCAGAGGGATGGTTCACCCACCCAGGGAAAGGCTGCTGCTTTCAGAAAGCTCTGACCACACACAGGCCCAGCCAGCCCACGGGGATTCAGTCTCACTCATTCATCTTTGAAGCCACAGAGCCTGGCACACAGCAGATGCTCAAGAAATGTTTGCTAAATGAATTCATAAATCCTGCCTACCCCTTAGGCCACAGTGGCCTAAGAGTCTAGACATTTTAAAGCATTGTTCTGACCGACTTCCAGCAGTATCTGAAGACCGCGATTGTCCTCAGACACTGCGAGAGCCGATAAGCCTGTGTCAAACCAAGTCACATTGTGGTTCTCCACACGTCCCTGGGCTGGCGGGATTCAAGTCCCAAATCTACAGAAATTCTGGATAATTTGGGGGCAGTTACTTCCAAAATTTTATATTTAACTGTAAAAAGACAAACAATGATGGCATATACTAATCCAAGGTAATCCAGTTTCATTGTAAAAATACAAATTTTTCAAGACCCTGGGGGAAAACACTTGAAAACGTAAGGCCTTTTTTTTTTTTTTTTTAAAGATTTTATTTATTTGACAGAGGGAGCACAAGCAGGGGGGTTGGAGTGGGAGAAGCAGGCTTCTCTCCAAGCAGGGAGCCCGATGTAGGGCTCGATCCCAGGACCCAGGAATCATGACCTGAGCCAAAGGTAGACAATGACTGAGCCACCCAGGCGCCCCAGCCTTATTTTCTATCTTCAGGCCTTCTACACTTATGCCTCTTGGAGATAATAATTAGCAGAGTACAGAATAGTCCCAGCTCAGATTGGAGAAGGATCCAAAAGCTGCCAGTTTAAGCTGTCCAGTTTACCTGTGCTGCATTTCCATTATTTTGATTAACCTGATGAAGGATTCTAAGTATTTTTTTCTTCTTTTAAAATCTTTTCTCAAAGATCTGTAATCTTCAATGTGTTCTCACTAGTTTGGGAAAGGGGCTTTGAAAGCTCTTGTGAAGAAAGAGGTTAAAATTGAAGAAATTTTCAAGCTAAACCTTAGTTCTTTGAAAAATCCAGGTAAAGAGGACATTGTATTTCTCAGGTGCCCAGTTAACATGAACTTCATTGCCTCGTATGTAGTAGAAGGTAAGTTAACAGTGATAATTAATTTCTTGTCACTAATTAAAGTTGAGGTGGCTAATGGATTCTCTTCCTTCCTCTAGGTTTATTTCCATCTACAGAGGACCCAGCCACACCTATAAAGTCCAGAGACTGACGGAATTCACATGCTACTCCTTCAGAATCCAGGCAGCGAGCGAGGCTGGGGAAGGGCCCTTCTCAGAAACCTATACCTTCAGCACAACCAAATGCGTCCCCCCCACCATCAAAGGTTTGTAGGCAGTGAATTCTAGCACATTCTTCTGTGAGAGTAAGGAAGTGCTGGAACTTAGAGTAGGAGGCTCAGTTCTGATCTGACGTATACTCTTCTAATATTTCTAACATCAGCAACATAGAATCCTAACAGTGGTCTCAAAGAGAAGGTTGGGGAATGGGTTCCCTGCGAAAAGGCCTTTCCTTGGGTCTGTATAAATAATTACTGCGAATAATGTAGTAGCCTCATCCCCACAGGAGGTGGACAAAGAAAAGGACCACACCGAGTGACACACTTGGGGTTAGAAATGAGGGTGAACTCCTGGTGTTGATACACTTACAACAGTTCACCATGGAGGGCTTGAGGCTCTCCCTGCCCAGAGACCGTCAGAAAGAGCTGAGGTCGGTGTCTGCCTTCCGGTGACTCTCGTGCCCAGTGCCTGGCCCAGGCAACTTGATCGGCCTGTCCCCCAGCCGCACTCTTACTGTGCAGAGGTGCCTTTGAGAAAAGAGCAGCAGTGGCCTGTGCTCATCTCCTTGAGTATCTGTCTTGAGGTTTGCCAGTGACTAGTTGACTCCGTCCCTTTGTGGGGAAAGGGAGTGAGCAAAAGCCACTCTTGATGGACTCTCCCTCCACCGGGTCTGGTGAGCCCTTATCTCCCTCATGCACGGGTGACTTGCAGGATAGACAGACAGCAATAAGGTGGGGCTGGCTCGGCCCTCCCAGCTGCCCCCCCGCCATGGCCTCCTGAGCCTGTACCCTCTTACCTCAAAAGGATGATTCTGGTGAAGGTCCCTGTGGCCACTACAAGGGTGGGCAACGCTGGTGGCTCTTTCTAGCCGCTGCCCAAAATGACCCAAGGCTGATGGACACGCAGGCAGCTTACCTGAACTAGGTTTTTTCTGGGTAAAAGTGTGGGTTTGCTGTGTATTACTGGATGGCCAGGGGGATGAGTGTAACCTTGAAAAAAGGTCCTTTGTATGTGTGGCCCCAGGAGCAAGGCCATTTGACTTGGTGCTTCCATATTGGGTGAGGGAAGAGGGGCTGTCTGCTTCGGCCGGGGCAGAGTCCACCACAGAGGGAGAGAGACCTCAGGGCCTGGGTCAGGGTCTGGCTTGGAGTCTGTTCCTCTAGCTCCTTCCAGGGTGCTTGATGGTAGCTCCCTCCCCTCCGCAGTCCAGAAGTTCTTTGGCAATCACTTCTCTATGTGAGTGTGAAACTAGGACGAAGGGATGTACCCATGCAAGGGCTTGTGTGTCCCTTGGGTACTAAGTGGCCCAGCCCTTCGGTACAGCTTCGCCTGGTGGCCATAACAGAAGAGATTCCCGAACCCACTGGGGCAGATAGGTTTGCTGTGACAAGAAGGGCTGGCCACAATTGACCAGCTGGCAAACATCAGGGGTCTTTATGACACTCCCTTCTCTGGGGGGTTGTTGGTAGAGATTCAATTCATGGACAGTAGAACACTGAGTAGAAAGCACTTGACTTTCATGTACATTTCCTTCAGAAGGGCAGTTTCCTGCCACTGCCACATTGATCAGATCCTCTTCCTCTTTGGGTCAGGAAGTTGTTTTCTTAGCTGGAGGGCTGTTTGGTCTGATAGGGCCCCTCATTTTTTCCAAAAATTGCGTGGAGTTTTGGCCAACTAATTGCAACTTATTTTTAAGAAAACCTGTATTTTTCTGAAGCAGTGTTGTACAGAATCGCCAAGTAGAAAGCGCTGCTTCTAAAGAATTTTAAGAGGAAGAGGGTTCAGAGAGGAGTAATGCGTTCTAGTTACAAAGTAGGAAAATCTCAGGTATTGAATTAAACTGTAGAGATATAGCATAAGCTATGAGAAAAAAATTTTTAATTCTATAACATTTTACATGCTTTACTATAAACTAATATGGTTTTCCTTTAAACCAGAATTATGAGGGCACCTGGGCGGCTTAGTCGGTTAGGCGTCTGCTTTTGGCTCAGGCTGTGATCCCGGGGTCCTGGGAATGAGTCCTGCTTTGGGCTCCCTGCTCAGCAGAGAGCCTGCTTCTCCCTCTCCCTCTGCTATTCCCCCCACCCAACACTGCTTGTGTTCGCTCTCTCTCAAATGAATAGACTCTTTAAAAAAAAAAAAAAAAAGAATTCCTTAAAGAAGGAAAAAAAAAAAACAGAATTATGAGTCTAGTAGGTGAAAAATGAACTAAAAAAAATACAAATAGGTAACTTGATTTTAAAAGGGTTTCTGTCAATGCTGGCCATTCTCTGGGACTTAATCTCACATGTCACCTGCTTCTCAAACCTTCCTCAGACTCACACAGATCAGACTCTCCCTCTGTTGTTCGTACCCCCCGTTTAATCGCCTTCACATTTTGTTTCTATTTGTATTTGTCTCCTACCTTGCTCGCCTCTTCCCTCAACTTGATCTTAATTCCCTTGAAAGTAGGGTTTTACAGCCCGTTTGCATTCTCTGAAGTCTCCAGCTCAGGGCCTCATCATAGAACATGCTCAGTAGTATTGAAAACATAACAAAAGTACATGGGGCGCCTGCGTGGCTCAGTCGGTTAAGCTGCTGCCTTTGGCTCAGGTCATCCCAGGGATCCTGGGATTGAGCCCCAGGGCCGGCTCCCTGCTCAGCGGGAAGTCTGCTCCTCCCTCTCCCTCTGCCCTTCCACTGCCTCATGTGTGCACTCTCTCTCTCTCTCTCTGTCTGAAATGAGTGAAAATCTTTTTTTAAAAAATTCTTTTAATTAAAAAAAAACGCAGTCCAGGCCAAGCAGTTATTAATAGGATAATGAGTAAAGGAATTTTTTTCACCAATAGCTTGCTAGTCATGGAGTAGCTTCTCTGTGTGAAGGGTGCCCTGCAGGTTCTCTAGGAGGCTGGGCAAATATACTCCCCTCTCAGAGCGGACACAAGCACACTCCCACTCTAAATTACAAAATGTTGGCAGTTACTGTGATACTTTGAATTTTGAGTTTGAACATGTGGATTTATATTTCAGCACCTCGAGTAACACAGTTGGAAGGAAATTCGTGTGAAATCTTCTGGGAGACGGTACCGCCAATGAAAGGTGACCCGGTCCACTACATTCTGCAGGTGTTGGTTGGGAGAGAATCTGAGTACAAACAGGTAAGAGCTAGTGTGTATGGCATGTGTGTGGCTCGTCAATCCAGCCTCTGCCTCTTGCCATGAGCAATTCAGTGACTGGTGAGGGGCATTTTTCTTCAAATCAGTCCTAGGAACTGCCTAACACGGACCCCTTTATGTAAGCCCTAGTTTACATTTTGTCTGTGGAAGTATTAAATTTTTAGTTCTCAAGCATGACCTTATAAAGAACTTTGAATTCCATATTTGTATTTGATACTGGCAGTGCTGTTTACAAGTAATCAAAGTCTTTATGCAGTTGAAAACCAGAGTGCCAGTGGTTTGACTATAGAAGGGAAGTAGTTTTCAGCCCAACTGCTGAAACTTTTTTTTTTTTAAGGAGCAGGGCCTGAACCCACCACCCTAAGGTCAAGACCTGAGCTGAGGGGTGCCTGGGTGGCTTAGTCAGTTAAGCATCTGACTCTCGATTTCAGCTCAGGTTATGATCTCAGGGACTGGGTTCGGCTCAGTACTGGGCATGGAGACTGCTTGGGATTCTCTCTCTCCCTCTGCCAGTGCACAACCACCCCCCGCTGCAAAAAAGACCTGAGCTGAGATCTAGAGTCTAAAGCTGAGCTGACTGAGCCACCAGTTCCCCAGGCCCCTCTGCCTTTTCTGTAGGAGCTATAACAGAAGGAGAAGGAATAGGACTTGTCAGCTCTGGGGGCCTGTGACTGAGCAACTCCAGTCACCGTTTGTCACCCTGTAATGTGCAGGGGAATCCCCAGGGAATCTGTTCAAATGCAGATCCTGGTGCTGTAGATTGTGGGGTGAGGGCTCCAGCCCCAGGTGATGCTGGGGTGATGCTGGTCGGGGAGCCAGAACTTGAGTCAGCAAGGCTTTACAGATGCCATGATAAACCCACGCAAGAGAGAACGTAATTGGACTATAGCCAGATAGAAAATTTGCTTTTCTTATTTTTCAAGACACTTTTAGTCCTTAATTCTTCCAACACTATGGATTATCAGTCACTGGCTACAAAAGATTAAGATACCCCATCAGTTTCTGTCCTGCTTCCAGGAACTTAATAACTGTTTTTATGAAATCAGGATATGATACCATTACTCTAAGGAAAGGTGAAGCCCATTCCTTACCAGAACTTTTAATGGAGGCATGCGTATATATCAGACTTAGAAACTACCTTCTGAAACATTAGCATAATTTGTAAAGACCTCTCAATTCAGCTCTAGAGGCTCCAGATACAGGTAGAAAATAATTTGATTCAGAGTTTTTGTTCAATTGCTGGCTAATGTTCCTTATTTAATAGTGAAGAATACTTGCAAATGTGGAAAACAAAGAAAATTTCGGTACATTTCATGTACTTTGTTAATATGAAGAAGCAGATAAAGAATGAATTGCTTTAACCACGTTTTGCAAAACACTGTTTTTAACTACAACATCTACCAAGTATTGATTAACATCAGTGGACGATGCCATTGTCCAGTTTCCGTCATTCCTCTTTAAGAGCAAAACACCGTTGTATTGTTTCACTTTCCGGTCTCATTCTAGTAGATGTTTCCCATTTCAGAGTAAATAATTTCACGTGTTTGGTTCAGCATACCAGAAAAAATAGGATTGGTTGCAGGGTCTCAGCTCTGATAGAGAGCTTGGAATTTTCCCCACCAGATTTTGTCATCTTAATGCCAGCAGCATTGTCCTATTCCATAGCAGTGGGATGATGGCTAAAGGATGAAATGTCACAGAATTTCACAGCGTAACATTTAACACTTAAGAGTAATTCATGACCCAACAGTACATTCACTCCATGTTCGTCATTGTTATTTTAAAGACATTTTATTCACATACCATACTTTTCTGCTTGTACTTAGAAAAATTTCTGCTTCTTAGAATATAGTGATTGCTGTTTGACATTGAAAAAAATAGCATTATTTGATCAGTGATTTAGATTTTATCAGCAGGTTGGCTCTTTTCAATCAGCTCTTTGTTTGGGACAGCTGACTGGTTCAGTGAGAAGAGCACGTGACTCTTGTTCTCACAGTTGTGAGTTCAAGCCCCGCTTTGGGTGTAGAGAGTAATATCTTTAGATTTAAAAAAAATTTTTTTTAATTTGTTTAATGGTATATATTTAGACACATGGACATATAAATTCTAATATGATACCTAATCACATGTGTATACCTCAGAATTTCTTATTGTAGATATAACTGGGTTTCTTTTTGGAAATATATGAAAACATAGTACATGGGGCAGGCTCAGTAGATAGGGACTAGCCTTCCTCACATAACCATGTGTTTACTACATTTCCCAAGAAATGATTAAGGTGGGGAGTGGTACATAAAAAGCTACAGTTGAGTCAGGAACAATTTGTACTGACTTTTTTCTGTGTGGATTTTTTTGTTTTTTTGTGTGTGTTTTTTTATAGGTTGGTTTTGTTTTTTGTCTCATTTTGTTTTCTTCTCCCTGTTCAATAAGCGTTAACTTAAACATGATGTTTTGAGTTCACCATTCACTTGTTCTGGACATGAAATAGGGAATGAAACCTATTTATATTATGGCTGCAAGAGTAATGGTTAAAATAATCATTGTCCAGAGATAACAGGCTTTGAATACGTAGAAGCAAAGCAAAAGAAAATGGGAGGTAATTACTGCTGAGCCCATAGCACGGCAGGGCTGCAACTCTTGGAGCACTCATCAGACAGGATCCTCTCATATGCGCCCTTGTGTTCCTCGTTTTTATCTTCTCGGCCCTGGCCCATAGTTAGGCGCTCAGTCCATGTTTCTTGCTTGCATGAAAGAGTCCGTTTCAAGGGAACGGAGTTACTTAACATCTGTGGTGGTGATAAGAGTAAGCTTCAGCGTGGGGTGGATTTAGAAGCATTTGTAACTTAGGTGGAAAAAAATCACCTCTAACAGGAAGGGTCTTTCCGCTTCCCAGACTTGTGTTTGTAGGCAAATGAAGGCACCAGAGCTCTCTCGGATGTTTTGCTTGAAACATAGACTTCAATTTTGCCTTGATTCTAGCTTATTAGCTTGCTTTTGTTCAACTATCACAATATGAGGTGAGCAGCTGGCCTTAATTATAAAACAAGCTCTTCAAGTAGTAAATCCTCATCTAAAATTTTACTCTATATTAGGATGCATACGTATGTTGATTTGGCTTTTCTGCATTGATACACATGTTCTTTCCAAGAAGCTTAAAACTTCTTTTCAGATGGTATTAATTATAAAGCATTCTAGAAAAGCATATGCAAGTGACTAATTTTTTTTCACAGGATATAACACAGTTTGATATCTACATAAGCATGTAATGAAAGATGATGCATAGTCATGTCCCTGTTCAGACGCAGTCACTTGTACAACAAAATTTAAACAATGGAGATGAGGAAAGAGCAACAGACTAACAAAGTATTGACTGTTAGGGGACAAAATTTGTGGCAAGTCATTAATATTCTTAGTGCTCAGGCTTGTTGCTTTAAGAAAACCTTTAAAGCATCTGAAACTTTATGGACCTTTACAGTTAATTTGATAGCATCTTTGTATAAATAAATTTTCACTTTGTATCATTTTCGATGATAGCATGGGGACTTGTACTGATTCTTTGTGGCATCACATTAGGTACTGTGAGCAAAGACCTTTCCATACACAATTGTTTGAAAGTCTTAGAGCTTAATGTATTTTTTAATGTCTTTCTGTTTAATTCCCTGACAGTTTTTTTTTTTTAATTTTTGTCTGAGTCAAGGGTCGTAAAGCAAAATAATAGATCAACACAGGGGAATTTAAAAGCCATCATTTTACGGATTCTTAATTGTCTTAGGTTTTTAACTTCCTTTAAGTATCTGATGACGGCCATCAGAAAATTGCTCATACATCCATTTCAAATGCATGAGACAAATACATCTTCAGTTTCAGGGAGCCCAGGTATAGGATCCTGGTTTATTGAGAAACTGTTAGGTGCTCTGTACTATGAGGGATGTCCAGTGTATAACAGAAGACCATGGTCAGTGCTCTTAGCTTTCTAGACCCGTTGGGGTGAGAACAGCAGACCGTCAAGAAACGGTTCAGTAACAGCCCCTTACCTGCCCTCCTCAGCTCAAGGTCCACCCCGCACTGCACCCACTACAAAGGAGGCTTACAGGTTGGTGAGCTCCCTCTTAAGCTGGAGAGTATCACGCAGTCATGTGGTAGTAGAAAAATTAATTCACCTCACTGAGACTCAGCCACTTTGTTGTACAAGGAGGGACACTCATCCTCTATCTAACTCAGGGTCACTGTGAGCTTCCGCCCCTTCAGTAGTGAGAATGTGCTGTGTAAATGACAATGCTATGCCAGTATGTCTCCCTTTGCAGTCCTGGAGAGGGGCAGTGTTAATTAAGAGATGCAGGCACTGGGCCCAAGGCAGGCCCCCAGTGGTTCTCCCCAAAATACTCGCTGGAATAAAGGATTCCAACTCCACAGCATGTTGTTCTGAATTCAGGGTCACAGATTCTTTAGTTTAGTTATCTGGGTACTACTTTAAATCCTCCTCTTTGGAATAAACATGTCAAAATTACTTTAAAATATATCGTACATCAAATCAAGAACAGAAATAGTCTTTATATAAATAATATCACTTATCTACTTCTTGTGATATTATGATTGGTTACTTCAATAAAGACAATCTTAAGTGGAGCCATGCCTTTTAAATTGGGTTGAGGCAGGAGGAAAAACCCGTAATGGTGCCCCTGTCAGAGTGAATGAAAATAAAGGGACACAGGGCACACAGCCTGCCATCCTGGGGTAGGGAGCTGCACTGTCCCCTGAAAAGTCACTTCAGTCAAGGCACAGGTGTGTGGCAGACAGGATGAACATGTAGTTCGGTGACCCCCCCAGGCTGTGACTGTTTCCACCAAAACAAATCCGTTAGCTCCAACCCCAGGAACCAGAATCCACGGGAAAGGGGGCAGTGGGATTGTTTAACTTTTCCTTAGCTAAGGATTAATCCAAAAGGCTTGAAAGCACTGTTGACCATTTCTGAAATACACTAGAAACTATATTTTCTATCACTACACTGAAAACAACATATTGTTAGTGAGTCCATTTCTTTACAATGATGGCTGCACTCCTGTACGAAAAACTTTTCTGTTGCCTCTGTGCTGTGAGTGTATGTTCAGGTTTATGGGATTCTGGTAATTGTCCTCTCTTCAAGCACTGTGGTAAAAGAGTATCTACTCTGGAGTCATTGAGGGTTCTAATGAGAGAACATTCACTGACTGAGCATCTACTTAATTCAGGCCATCCATAGTGCTGGTTGCTGTGGCATTACTAGAACACAGTCCCACACTCCATATGTGTAGCTTGGTTGGTTGGTTTTTTTAAGATTTTTTGTTGGCAGTGCTTGTAAAAGGGGGGGAGCTGTTCCAATTAAAACAACAAGAATGACGAAAAGAGAAACATTTACAAATTGAAGGCTGTGTTTTAATTGGACTTGTCATTAGGAAGTTCCCTCCAATTAGATATCCTTTTCCTTCATTAAGCTTTTTGCCACATGGTATGAGAAAAGTAGCATTCCTTTTTTCTCTAAATACATTTTCAGAGATATCCATTCCAGGGATTAGAGTTCAGCAGAGCCATTGAAACGAAAATACGAAGTCTCTTTTCAAGATTCCACGAATTGGGCTCCTAGGAAATAAAATGACCTTCTACGCCAGCTTTCTTCAAAAGCTCTTAACTTTGCAAATTCTGGAAACCATAGAATTCATTTAAACAGATAGAAGTCAGCATTTATATCCCCTTCCCAAAAGTCTCAGAAACATCTGTGGGGATAGGTTAGTAACTGGTGTTCTGCCATGAGGTCATTGTTTGATGGCAGAAAGTAAGAGGCCACATCCCAAAAACGCTAACCAAGCCTTTGCTTGGCACAAACGGGTAGGGGGTGGGGAGTGGAAGGACTGCTTTCCATACCATAAAAAGGGAAAGGCAGTGTTTTCTGTCTGAGACAGCAGGAACCAAGATGTGGTGATCTGGGAGGTTTTTAACAGAAACCCTGGAAAGACAGTAGAGCTGTCTGGGAAGACGAAATCAGGCCAAGAGAACTGGACCTCATGTCGGACTTTTGTTGTAAGACTAGGACTAAAGCAGAGGACAAGTGGTAGCATCACTACCTCCGACAGAGGCTAGGAGGTGCAGGGCTGGGCAACTCCAAGGGTGAGCGTGGGTATTTGAGTTAAGAGTGGGATCTCACTGGGGGTCTAACCCTGCCCTTATTTGTTGTGAGTCCTTAAGAAATTAACAGCCTCCCTGATCCTGTCTTTAACTCTAGCCAGGAGGATTGAATTTGATGGAAGTTGGCTTACCTTCAGTGTGTTGCTCTCACAAAGCCCTCTTGACGTCCAGTTTCTCATTTAACCCTCAGCCCCTCTTACGGTGAGGTTAGGTACTGTTACTATCCCCAGGTGAAAGAGAAGAAAAACTAAGTCTCAAAGCTGATAGTTCCCTAAGTTCACAAACCTAGAAAGTACTGGAGTGGAGACTTAGACCTGGGGTCCTGATTCAGTTCCTGTGCTTGAGAAGGCTCTTCCCAGTGACTCCCTATCAGACCAGGCCCAGTTCCTCAGGGTTGTGCGGAGAAGAGCTCCCACAGCTAGTCTTTCAACCTTTGATAAGTGCAAACAGATATTTTAATAAGTGTGGCCTCTGTAAGAATCAATAAAAGAGGTTATAGCGGGAAATCTTGGAGCAAAGACGTAAATGGCAGCTTCACTCCAACTTAGTAAACATCCCGGTGCTGACTTGCCACCATAGAATCAGAACGGATTGTTGACTGGGACATTGCAGATAAGAAAACATAGCTTGGGGGCACCTGGGTGGCTCAGTTTGTTAAAGCCTCTGCCTGAGGCTCAGGTCATGATCTCAGGGTCCTGGGATTGGGTCCCGCATTGCATCGGGCTCTCTGCTCAGCGAGGAGCCTGCTTCCTCCTCTCTCTCTGCCTGCTTCTCTGCCTACTTGTGATCTCTCTGTCAAATAAATAAAATCTTAAAAAAAAAAAAAAACAAAAACAAAAAACCAAAGCTTTGGATGGCAACTGTTGAGGGACCTTCTTTGTCAAACTGGTGTACTCATCCCATGGGTTACAAATCATTCCCTTTAGGAATGGTCCCAACAGTTTCCAAAAAAAGACTTTTCTCAGAAAATAGCAACTTCAATGCTATAAGGTTAAGAAATTAAATCTAGATTAAGAAAGCGAAGAACTGGGACGCCTGGGTGGCTCAGTTGGTTAAGCAGCTGCCTTCGGCTCAGGTCATGATCCCAGCGTCCTGGGATCGAATCCCACATCAGGCTCCTTGCTTGGCAGGGAGCCTGCTTCTGCCTCTGCCTACCACTCTGTCTGCCTGTGCTCATGCTCTCTCTCTCTAACAAATAAATAAATAAAATCTTTAAAAAAAAAAAAAGTGAAGAACATTCATACTTAAAAGATCTCTTTAAAGAAAAAGAAATGTACACCACTGTTTTCTTGAGACCACTCAGGTGTTGTGCAAGAATTCATAAAGAGGTTCCATCATGGTACATAGGTAGAACTCTCCAGTAGCTGGCGGTAGGTGTGTGGGTTGGGACAATGACCACAACGGACAGCCAGCTTGTCTTAAACCATCCATTTAGCTAACTCATCATTGGAACAAAAAGAAGGAGTGGTCTGGGTCTTCTTATGACTCTTTCATAGTTGGTTGCTCCAGCCCAATTCTGTCTAGGGCGCCAGCAGGAGCATGCTTAAAAATCTTACAGAGGAGGCGTGCCTGGGTGGCTCAGCGGGTTAAAGCCCCTGCCTTCGGCTCAGGTCATGATCCCACGGTCGTGGGATCGAGCTCCGCATCGGGCTGTCTGCTCGGTGGAGAGCCTGCTTCCTCCTCTCTCTCTGCCTGCCTCTCTGCCTACTTGTGATCTCTCTGTCAAATAAATAAAATCTTTAAAGAAAAATCTTACAACGGAATAGCAGAAGCAACAACGAAAGAGGAAGAATTGGTTTTCTGGCACCTAGGCACTAAACAAAAGTATAATAAGACAAAGTCTACTTGTGAAGATGGAAAAGGAGGGAGGAAAAAATCTTAAGAAAAAGGCTAAATATCAAGAGAACAATGGAAATTGGGTCCCTTTTGTAAACTGGGAGATCCTTCTGCTGTCTTTGCCCAACACTAAGTGCATGGCCAATGCACCTGTGTTCACTGGCAGGATGTCCTATTTTTTGGTAGAAGTTTACACACCAGACTTTAAAAACACTCAGCATTAGTAGATTCCCACTAACTCTACAGCTGGCAAGTAGAGATCACTGGAGATACTTTTTATTTTTTAGGGCATTTGTATTAATGGACAAAACTGACAGCTTTACCGGGTTAGCCTGTAGCCAGGTTGAAAACGCGAACACCTATCACTTAATTGCTGTGCTTTAGTAATACAGTTGGAGTTGTTTTAAGATTCTAGATCCTGCACTGTGCCCTGGCCACGTACCAGGCCTGTTTTAAGCACTTTATAGATGCTAACTCAGTGCCACTCATCCAAGAAAGATGCAGTGAATTTTACTTTCTGGTTCTAACTGTTCACCAGCCAAATCTCTTAAAATTTCGTTAGACGTGTATTACTTTGGTCAGCTGCAGTTCCATTCACTGGATTTTGTATTCTGTTTGCTCGGGGCGGGTTGGAATGAATATCCATCTTTTGTTGTTGAATGAAATACATACGAGGAGAAACAGCTTTCTACCCCATTTTGGTCATTCTGGTCATCCTGGAGTAGACACCGGGGGCCTGACACACCTGGATTATCAGATTATTGTTGTTCCAGAGTAATTGACCCGGACTTCTCTGTCTGTCCTTGAAGGTATACAAGGGAGAAGAAGCAACATTCCAAATCTCAGGCCTCCAGACTAACACAGACTACCGGTTCCGCGTGTGTGTGTGCCGCCGCTGCGTAGACACTGCTCAGGAGCTCAGCGGAGCTTTCAGCCCCTCTGCGGCTTTTGTATTGCAACGAAGTGAGGTCATGCTGCCAGGGGACACGGGGAGCTTAGATGATCCCAAAATGAAGAGCATGATGCCTACTGATGAACAGTTTGCAGCCCTCATTGTGGTTGGCTTCGCGACTTTGTCCATTTTATTTGCCTTTATATTACAGTACTTCTTAATGAAGTAAACAAACCCAACAAAACTAGAGGTATGAATTTAATTAATGCTACACATTTTAATACATACATTTATTCAGATATTCCCCTTTTTACGCCCTTCTGTTCTTTGATTTATATACTTGTTTTACAGATTTAGCTAGGAAAAAAAAATATCAGTGTTTTGGTGCACCTTTTTGAAATGCAAAACTAGGAAGAGATTAAACTGGATTTTTTTTTTTTCAAGGAAAAAAAAAGAAGAAGAAAAGCAAACCAGATACCAAAAGCTAGCTTTCTTATGTTTTCTTTTAAATTTTCAGATTTGCCTTTATTCTGTTTTCACTGATGTCTTTTGCAAGCCTTTGATTTTTTTTTTTTTTCCATGTTACGGTTTAGTAATTTATATTCACCAGTCACTTCTTTGGTCTTGATCATCCGTCTCTGTGAACGTGAATCACAGTGTGTGTACTTACAGGCCTAGGATTTCAGTGTCATCGGAGTCTTACCACACAGCTACAACCGCAACAACAACATACGGAAGATGTGTTCACTCAAATAAGGCTGCCCTAAACAACCATTTTGTCACTCAGTTATTTAACTGTTTAGCTCATTTAAATCAAAATGTGTACTTTAATCTGAAATGTTTTAATAATCTCTGTTTCTTATGATTTTTAACACTATGAGCTGCCTGTCTAAGAAATCAAGTAACCAAAATGCACCTATAAATTATGGAACATTGTAGATTTTACCCCATCGATTCATAGCCGTAACTTTAAGAGGGCATTGTGCAATAGTTAGTTGTTTCCTTGTTCAGCTGTTTTAAAAGCTGCTTTAACTTGTTTGTTTGTCTTTGTGTATAACTACTTCTAATCTAATCACTAGAGTTATTATATTCTGTTATGTTTGACCAGAGTTATATGACGAGAACTGGTGACAGTTTAGTGCCTCTGCCCCTTGTCCATGATTTACACTAATTGTGAGCAGTCTTCTTACACGTCAGCTCATTGTTTGGAAAGATTTGCCGTAAGGCTATTCTTTGAGGTATCAGTGAAGTGATTGAATTTCAGTACCTTAATTCAGTGCACATCATATTCATCTAACAGCGGATAAAAACCTGTTAAAACCCAAAAGAGAGTCATCTAAACTTGTAGTTCCTATTTTTGTGGGGTTGACCTGGCCATGTGTGGAGAGGGAATGATAGATGGTGGTAAACACAGGGTGTTTGGGGTGAAGGAGCCCTAGATTCTCTCCCTGGATCTGTCACTAACTTGCTGCGTGACCTGAACACGTCACTTTACCTCTCTGTGCCTCAGTTTCCAGTGCATTAAATAATAAAGAGAAATAAAATAAAATGGGGATTCTAACGTTTGTAAGTGCTTTGAGATCCTTGATCAACAGGTGCTATTGGAGTGCAAAGTGTTACTCTTGCATGTTTATTCTGAGTCATGAGATAATCAGTTTTAACCCAAAGTCATTGGATTATTTATATGAAGTCCATAATGTTCGCGTACCTCAGGGACATTTAAGAGTTGGAGGTGCAAATATATTCCAAAAGGGTGCAACAGACACAGTGTATCTCCCTGCTTCTGTTTTTGTATATTTTTGCTACTTGGTTTTTCTTGATCATAGCAATTCTGTGCTTGGTCTGTGTTGTCTTAAGATGCAGTATGCTGTACTAGCTTATGATATTCCCATACCAAAGTCATGGGGAAACCAACATTATTTTGTTTTTGGTTTATTTATACTATATTCTGCATACAGTACTTTAAATGCCAATTACAGTGCAATCTTTATTTATTGTAAAATTTTTTAAATGTACTTATGTACTAATTTTCCCTTGTAGCATGTTATTTTTTGTGTGTGTGTTTTATACTTTTGTAATTTTAGGTCAGTCTTGTTCCTTGGCAACATCTGTAGTATTACGAATCTTCTGACATTTTCTTGTGTTTTTAAAAGATAAGAGCATCTAGTGCATTAAATGCCAAAAAAAAAAAAAATCCATTATCAGTGATTGAAACGTTTACATGTACCCAAAAAACCATAATCATCTCTTGAAAGAAAGCGCTACGATCAATGAATTATTCTGTGTGCCTATATTGATGTAGTAAGTACTAGAGAGTTTTGTATTTTGTTATTGACTATAATAATTAGTTGAATTAGCCTTGCAAAGTGATGGCATCAAGGTAAATATATTTTTGCCAAAGTTCTGGCCTTCCAAAACTCAGCCCTCTACTTAATTGTGTATTACGACCCACTATAACATTGCATCTGCATTTTCTGAGACCATCTCAGGCGGGTGTTTTTGTTTTGTTTTGTTTTGTTTTGCAGGGGTGGGGCGGGGAGGCTTTTTTTTTTTTTTTTTTTTTTTGAAGCAATGAAGATTCAACAGAGTACAAATTCCATGTTGGACAGCAGGGGGGGAAATCGGTCCTTTTTGGAAACACTTCAGAACTGCTGCTATAAAGTAATTCTCGGAATGGTTTGAAACGTTTTACATGAAATAATGGCGTTAGGCCCAGATTGCGATGAGTACTTTCTCTTTTTGAGATTTTCATCTTGTTGAACCACCATAAAGCTGAAGTGTGTCACAGACCAGCTGACTGCACTTTATTTTATTGTTTCCCGTGATTGGGTATTCATTATCATCCCTTTGGTCAAAAAATGATTACTCCATCTGGCACGGTTCTCTGTCACAAATATGTATATGTGACATTGATATATAGCTCTGTAGACATTGCCGTTAAACACAAACAATAAAATAAAGTGTTATATTAAACTTATTTCTTTGCCCTTTTGCGATACGTAGGAATGAGTGAGCGGCTGGCTTCCAGCGCTCTGTCAGACTCTCATCCCTGGCACAAGAAATTCCAGTCATGTGAAGCAAACTGCCCTTTGTCCTCAAAGAAATGGTCTCAACACTTTTTTAAAAGATTTTTTCATATTATCTATCTTGTTCTTATCAACTTGAAATGTTGGCATTTTCTAACTGTTTCGTTGACTACAGTCATTCAGTATTCCTGTCAAATTGAAAAGTGCCCTAATTGAATGTGTCTGAATGTTATCCTTGCACAGTTCTTTAAATTGAAAGACAAAATGTTTTACCTCACTGTTGGACATACATTCCAAGCTTTTCAACTTTAGGAGAAAAAAAAAATAATCATATGTTTTCCTGTATTGTAAATTTTAGACTATTTCATATACATTGTATTAAAACTGCCATATCAATTTTAATGTATAGATTTTGCAAATACTATGCTATATGTAATACCTAACTGTATCTGTAGTGTATATGTAATATATTTATGCCCAATAAATGTTTTAATTCTTTCTGACTTAAGTAGGGTTTTTCTGCCAAGAATAGGACTTGCTTTTTGTTGTTGTTGCTGTTGTTGTTCCTTCTTAAAAACTTGAACCACATCCCCAAAGTTGCAAATTCAAATGCCTTTGGAGGCCAGGCAGGTGATGATTCTTGTGCCACCCAAGGGAGCAATTACAGCCCAGCTCCAGCTGATTGGGGTCCTGTAAGACCACAGGCCACAATCATCCATGCTCATGTTTCCAAAGAAGCTAACAAAATTCAGATTTCCCTTTACAGAACAGCTAAAATATGACTGTGGCCCACATCGGCCCAGGAGCTGCCATTTATTTTTTGTCAGAGCCTGCGTTCCGAGCATACTATCCAAATGCCGAACCTTAGGAGCCCAGGTCTATCTCTGGATACCGAGACCCAGCACATTCCCTCCCCACTTCTACTTCCCACTTTTTGGCCTGCCTTCTTCCTTGCTCTGAGTCTCATTCAACAACAACAGCAGCAATAAAGCACAGTGACCCTGCTAGGGCCATGGTTTCATTTGGTTTAGATTGTTTTGCTAGGAATCCCTATTTTTTGTTTTATTTCTGGGGGAAAGAAGTGTATGGAGAAACTGTGTTCCAAAGAAGGATGAGCTGTTCTTAAGGGTAAAAGTGACCAACTGAACACATCAAATTTTGCGTGCTCCAAACATTCCACTGAGAATACAGTAAAGGATTTGTTTTTTTTAAGACTGGGAAGAACAGGGAGAGAGCTTGCTGGCACCAGCATTTTGGAAGCCTAACTGAAGAAAGCTGAATTATTATTTCGCAGGGGGAGAAATGAGCCCACCTCGTTGTACATGCAGAATACCCTGAAGGCTCAAAAATTGACAGAAATGTCCTTTTGAAGTGATGGGGAAGGGGGAAAGGAGCCTAAAATACTACTAGTTGAAAGCTGTTTAAAACGCCGTTTGATCCATAAATTCCTCCCTGCTTCGTTTTCCACTGGACAGCCCTCAGAAGGTAACAGAAAGACCCTAAACTTGAAGACACAATGCAGTTGATCATCAAGGTACCATATCAAAAATGGGATTCAGTGAACGTAGGCATACAGGAGAATATGAGGAGTCTTACCTAGCAAGCCTCGTGTGCCGAAAAGAAAGATCTGGAAATCTTCGATGAAGTGGTTCAGCGGTGCGCCCTTGGGTGGCTCTTCTCGGCCGGCGCTGTTCTGGAATATCACTGGCGGAGCTTTTCAAAACCCCTACCGGCAGATCATACTCTAAGCCAATAAAATGAGCATTTCTGGAGTATCATTGTTTTCTAAAAGCCCCCCAGATGATTCCACTCCGCAGCCAAGATTGAGAACCACTGCCCTACAGTGAAACTCTCCCTCGCTAATCCCGTCAGCTTTCCAGTCCTCCAGCTTAATGAAGAGTGACCTGACCTCTGGTGAACATGAATGGAAAGCTCAAGGCCAATAACTTGGAAGAATCAGGGACTGAGGGAGGAGCATCTTCAGAAAACAATCGTTACCTTCAGAGAGATGAGAAAAAATGAGTCATCTTTAGACTGAGGATACATTGCTATGGAAAAAAGAATGCTTTAAGAACATGGAAATATTCCCAGAAATTAAAAATTCATTAGAAGGGTTAGAAGTTAGCATTAAAAGAATAACCTCCAAAATAGGAAAACAGAAATGAAAAGAGGAAAGATGAGGATCAGACCAGGACATTCACCATCCAAACGATAGGAGCTTGGGAGAGAAGGGAGAAAATGGAGAACAAATCAGGAAACGTGTGTTTCCAGAATGAAAGGGTGGGAGGATACCCAAACGATGGAAATGGACCTCTACCAAGGCACATCACCATGAAACCTCAAAATACCAGGACCAAGAGAAGTTCCTCAAAATAGAAAACTGGTCACATAGAATTAGAAATCAGACTATCTTTAAACTTCTCGGTAGCATACTGCAAGCTAGAAATCAGTGAGGCAAGTATGTCAAGACTGGAAAGAAAAAGATTTCCCACCTGCTTACTCTTGGACAAGTGTGAAGTATCATTAAGATGTTTTTAGAAATGTGAGATCTCACAAATTTGCCTCCCATGCACCCTATCTCAAAAGCTACCAGAGGATAAGCTCTCCCATAGAAGCTAATAAACTAAGAAAGAAAAAAATCCATGAAATTCCACCCCCACAGTGATTTTCATGCAGGTTAGAGGTTGGCTGTCTGGCCCTTTGCTCCGAAAGGGTTTATGTAACTTTATCTTTCTCCTACCCCCAATTTGCATAACTGCCCCCTCCACATGTACCCCAAAGCAGGACTGCAAATGACTCTTTTAAACAAACCTCTCAGGATATCTTGCCCTGTGCTAATTAAAACTAGCAATTAGATCCATGTATAGGAACCCTTTATTCAGAATGGTGACCCAAAAAAAGTTCCCACCTCTACTGCTAGACTTGGAGGGAGGGAATATATGCTTGGGACAGCAAGTCTTCTTCAATTCTGCAGCATAGAGCCCCATTATCTGGCACATTATAGAAGCTAGGGAAAAAAAAAAAAAAAGGTTTGTTGACTTGAATGCAGTAAACTAATTTAGTTGGAAAAGTTCACATAGCAGTGATGTGTTCCGTAAGACTCGCCGCTCCAAACCAATCTTTTCACCACAGGTGTATTATTTTTGGTGCAGTATTTTGATTTTAACTTAAGCGGTTTTCAATGATTTATAATTTGAAATGTGGAAATTTCATACAAAATACTGGAATTCGACATTCTTTTAAATTTGAAAGACCTGGCAACTCTAGGTTTTAGTCTGGAATGGTGATGCTCAACAGAGGTCAGTAATGGCTGTCATTGTGACTGGGGCACTTGCTGTGCAGCGGACCACATTTCGCACACACACAATTCTTGGCATGAATATGGATGACGATTTTGATGGAAAAGCATCAATCACCTTGAACATCATCTCTGTCAAAAGTGGATGAATGGATGGCAAGACTTCCAAGAATTTGATGGAGAACGTCTGTAAAGCCAGTTCATAAAAGCAACAAAAACAGTAGCAAAA